GATCATTCTGCCTTTGTATAAATAATTGATCTTGGTGGATTTGATTTATATCATGGGCTAATTGATATACTTCGACCAACTTCAATGCTGCTGATGGAGCCAATGGTAAACTATCCATGAACGATCACTATATATAACACCACAAAAACAACCACTGAAGTGATCCATACTAATTTCCATAAAAAGCGATTCATCCTATGCTCATCATTTTCACGGTATGATTGGCCTTCGGTGCGCCACATGTTCCTCACTATTTGCCACATGATTTGTGTATTTAAATTGATGAGACAAAGGTCGAGCTTATAAAATATGTAAATAATAAAGGTTAGCTATGGAGATGTAAAGAATTTATAAAGAAGCTTTATTGGAATTGTAAACTTGTTAGTAACAGCATACTGTAATCATAATGGAATTGTAAACTTGTTTGCTCTATCAATAAGCTACTGAAACCGATACCCTACACCACTTTCCGTAATAATGTGCAAAGGATTTGTGTAATCTGATTCTATTTTTTTGCGCAATGTACCGACAAATACACGGAGATATTGGGTTTCCGTCTGGTAACCGATTCCCCATATTTCACGGAGGATGTATTGATGGGTTAAGACTTTTCCTTCATTTTTGGCAAATAATGCAAGTAGATTGTATTCCGTTGAAGTAAGTTTAAGTAGTTCGTTGTTTTTTTTGATGATCCTACTCACTAGGTCTATTTCCAAGTCGCCACAAATGATTGATTGCGTATTAACAGTAGTGATGTTCCTTTTGATGGCAGACCGAATTCTGGCTAATAGTTCGCCTGCTCTAAAGGGTTTGGTAAGGTAGTCCGTAGCTCCATGATCTAAAGCTGTGATGATTTCCTTTTCGCCATCTAATACTGACAGCATGATGATGGGATTATGATACCATTCTCTCAGTTCTAGTAATACTTCCTGACCACTCTTATCTGGTAAACCTATGTCTAACAAAACTAAATCGGGTGTATGTGACGCGCACAACGAAATACCTTCATTCCCCGTGGCTGCTTGTATTACTTTATAATCATTAGATTCCAAGTTTATTTGGAGCAATTTTCGAATTTGTGGTTCGTCATCTATAATGAGAATGAGCCATTTATTCATAAGTCACAAGATTTAGGGTGGAAGATTCTGCTGGCAAAACCACAGTAAACAGTGCGCCGCCTGATGATTGATTCTCCAAGGTAATGTGACCGTTTAATGCTTCTACAAATCCTTTTACAATAGACAACCCTAATCCT